CCTGCTTTCCCTTTTTCTTTTTTTTTTTTTTTTTTTGTGGGGGAAGGGCAGAGGCAGAGGGAGAGAGAGAATCTTAAGCAGGCTCCATGCCCAGCATGGAGCCCCATGCAGGGCTTGATCTCACGACTCTGAGATCATGACCTGAGATGAAATCAAGAGTCGGATGCTTAACCAACTGAGATACCCCGGGACCCCAAGATCCCTACTTTTCTTAAGAGTTTCTGCATTCAAACATCCCAAGGGTGGTATTTAAGCAGTTACCATAAATATACAGACTTTTAAGAAACTGATTTTGCTACATGTCAACTGCAAGATCAAACAAGGCTTTCTGCTAAAAAGCTGGAGGGTAGATTATAAAGAACTGGGTGTGAATGATAAAGATGCTAGGAAAATAGGTCTACACATGAAAGATCCTTTCCCTGGTTGGTCTGCTTCCAATTTCTTCTACCCCGAACCAGTATTCTCCTGGATCCCTATGCTTTCGTCATAACCAAAACGATCAACTTGGGAGCATGAGTGGGGTGGAAAAGAAGGCACTGCATCCTCTATGCCTTTGGCAGAGTTACCAAGGTGCACACACTAAAAGAGGTGGCCACAGACATCATCCTTGTGAGTCAGAATGCCAAGTTCAAAAACAAGAAAGGCACTTCTGAGCCTGGGAAGTCATCTTCACTCCCTGAGGTGCTCAGAGTAGAATGAAAGGATTCTATCTGAAGAACTTGTGATCTGCACCTGTGTGTGGAGCGGCTGCCAGACATGGCAGCGGCAGAGGGCCGCTATCTTTCCTTTCAGCAGCCATAGGCTCAGTGATAACACCTGTCTCTGAATGGCTGGCTGGAATCGAGGGGTGGCAAGTCACTTAAATACCAAGTTTTTCTTCTGTGATAGGAGGACACAATTCAAGGAAAGGGGGTTGAGTAAACGCTCACATCTTACCCTGACAGTACTCTTGTACTCCCCCAACCCCTCCAACAGGACCACGCAATATAGAACAACATACAGCAAAACTTCTCCAGTCATCTTCTGCCAAACAATTTATCTCACGTGGTGCAAGCAGTCCCATCTCTAACCTGAAGTTGGTTCTGTTTCAGAGGAGTATGCTAGACCCCTGCTTTAGAGGTTTTTATTTGATGCAATCATAATAATCTATAAGATATATACAAAGCACACATAATTGTATATAAAAATAGCTTTAAAATTTAGCTAAGGTACAATTGGGAAAATTATTTTTTCCTGCTTCCATAGTTAAGCTCATATCTAAGAGGCCTTAATAACTTAATGTTCTTTCAGCTTTTTACCCAGTACTCACTAAAAGAATGTGAAAAGCTATTGTGCCTCAGTGCATGTTTCTAAGGTGATATCTAATGTTTTTTATCAAAAGTTTAAATAGTTCCAACTTTGTATGGTGACAAATGGTAACTAGATTTATCATGGGGATCATTTCATAATGTATAGAAATATCAAATTACTGCGACGTACACCTGAAACTAATAGGATATTGTATGTCAAGTATACTTCACTTTTAAAAAGAAAGTTTAAATAATACCAAAGAATGTCATTTGCAGCATATAGTAAATATTGACACTTTAAAATGGAATTGTTTCATGACTCTCTTCAATGTGTCCAATGTAATAAAATACCATAGAAATTTGATACCCACAGTCATCCATTTTAAAATTAGATGAAATGAGTTTACATTTGGAAATTTCATGGCATTCTTTTTTCTCCTTGTATTTACATTTCAATTCTACCTTCTCTGGAAAAATTTACCCCAGAGTAATACATGTTTTACACTTGAAAGTTCTATTCATCACTCTATCTCACTTCTCTGTGACAAAAAATAGAAATAAATTTAAGTTTTATTTCCCATGACCATAAAGCTCTAGGTGTTAAACATTTCTTCTGAACTAAGTCATTACAATTATTAATAGATTATTAGCATATCAAACTAATGTTGGTAAATAATTATTACAAGTAAAAAGTAAACTTTTATTAAAAAGTAATTTTTTTTACTTTTTTTAATTATGTTATGTTAATCATCATACATTACATCATTAGTTTTTGATGTGGTGTTCCATGATTCATTGTTTGCGTATAACACCCAGTGCTCCATGCAGAACGTGCCCTCTTTAATACCCATCACCAGGCTAACCCATCCCCCCACCCCCCTCCCCTCTAGAACCCTCAGTTTGTTTTTCAGAGTCCATCGTCTCTCATGGTTCGTCTCCCCCTCCGATTCCCCCCCTTCATTCTTCCCCTCCTGCTGTCTTCTTCTTTTTTTAACATATAATGTATTATTTGTTTCAGAGGTACAGATCTGTGATTCAACAGTCTTGCACAATTCACAGCGCTCACCATAGCACATACCCTCCCCAGTGTCTATCACCCAGCCACCCCATCCCTCCCACCGCCCACCACTCCAGCAACCCTCAGTTTGTTTCCTGAGATTAAGAATTCCTCATATCAGTGAGGTCATATGATACATGTCTTCCTCTGATTGACTTATTTTGCTCAGCATAATACCCTCCAGTTCCATCCACGTCGTTGCAAATGGCAAGATTTCATTCTTTTTGGTGGCTGCATAATATTCCATTGTGTGTGTGTGTGTGTGTGTGTGTGTGTGTGTGTGTGTGTGTGTGTGTACATTACATCTTCTTTATCCATTCATCTGTCAATGGACATCTTGGCTCTTTCCACAGTTGCCTATTGTGGACATTGCTGCTATAAACATCGGGGTGCATGTACCCCTTCGGATCCCTACATTTGTATCTTTGGGGTAAATACCCAGTAGTGCAATTGCTAGATTGTATGGTAGCTCTATTTTCAACTTTTTGAAGAACCTCCATACTGTTTTCCAGAGTGGCTGCACCAGCTTGCATTCCCACCAACAGTGTAGGAGGGTTCCCCTTTCTCTGCAATCCCACCACCATCTGTCATTTCCTGACTTGTTAATTTTAGCCATTCTGACTGGTGTGAGGTGATATCTCATTGAGGTTTTGATTTGGATTAGAAAGTAATTCTTAATGAGATGAACAGGTAGTTTTGTTTTCCCAATGATGACATAGGTTAAATGCATTGAAGAATTTTAGTGCTAAGTGAAACAGTTTAGCAATAATTCTATTCCTGTTTTTTAGATAGATTTCAATGCTGAGAAATCTTGTTCACATAAATAAGTAGAGTTGCATGTACTCTGTTATGAACACAATGTCTTTAAAGAAAGTCTATGACTTATATGTCTAGCAGCAATATATTATCTAAAATTATTTCAAATGTTCTATCAGATGACAAATCAGTTGGGTCCTCTTTCAATTTTGTCCAAAGTCAAAATGAGAAAAAGACTTAGAAAAGGAGGTCTCGTTGGGGCACCTGGGAGCTCAGTGGGTTGAGTGTCTGACTCTTGGTTTCAGCTAAGGTCATGATCTTGGGGTCCTGGGATCTAGCCCTATGCCATCAGGCTACCCGCTCAGTGGGGTGTCTGCTTCCTCTCTCTCTTTCCCTCTGCCCCGCCCCCCCCACTCCTGCACACACTCTCTCTAAAATAAATAAATAAATCTTAAAAAAGAAAAGGAGGTGTTGCTTAATAATTAAGGCCGTTTAGTTTCCAGACACTAACTTAGGAGGTTTTTATCATTTAAGGACAAAACAGTATAACACATTCTGGATGAGGAAAAGGTCTGCCTTTCTTTTGGACAATGGGAACTGGTCCATTGGTAAAAGGGCGGCTGGAGAGAAAAGCCAGCAGTCTACTATGGCAGACACATGCCCGTCAGGAAAGAGAATCTGAAAAGTGATTGAATCAAAACTGTCTGTATCCACACAACCCTTAAGGAAGTCCTCCTCTATCTCTCCTTCCCCACCTGCTGCTGCATAACTCAGCCTGAAATCTGCTCTAATCCAGCCAGCCTTCAAAACCCACTGTCTTCACAATAGCATCACAGATCACCATTAAGTCATAAGCAAATTATCCTACTGGACACTTACACTCTTCCGGAGCTCCACTCTATGACACTTGATACATCCTGCCCACATATGAGTACATCTTTTACCCCTCTAGTCTGACAAAGTGGTTAAGGATACAAGATTGGAAGTCAGACAAACCTGCATTTGTTTCTCGCTCTGCCAATTTCCCCGACTGTGTGAGCCTGGACAAGTTTTTAAATCCCTCTGGGCCTCAGGTTTCTCATCAATAAAATAGAGATATCACCAACTACTTATAGAGTGAATATGAGGATTAGATAATTTACAGAAAGTGTTTGGGGTGCCTGGCTCAGGCGGTGGAACGTGCAACTCTTGATATCGGGGTTGTGAGTTCAAGCCCCTCGTTGGGTGTGGAGCCTACTTAAAATAAAAAAATTAAAAGATAATAATAAATAAAAGAAAGTGCTTAACACAGTGCTTGGCGTTTAGTAAGTACAAAATAACCACTTTATTATTTTTATATGACTAAGTTCCCCTAGACCAGGGGCCAAGTTGTATTCATTTTTCTGTGCTCCATTGAAAAGGGTCTCCATTGTGTGTTTTATCCAACACCTACAAGCAATCCAATTCTCAGAAGACACAGACTGGGTGGCCTGCAATTTAACTCAATTCTGATACTATCTACCTGAAGATAATGTCAGATCCCACAGGTTAATGGCTCAGTCCCTCAAGACTGCCCCCTCTTCTGATTAATTTGCTAGAGGGCCTCACAGAACTCAGAGAAACAGCTTACTTATTAGATCACCAGTTCATTAAAAAAGGATATAACTCAAAAATGGCCAAATGGAAGAGATGCACAGGGCAAGGTATGAGAAAGGGCCCTGAGCACTACTCACTGCATCTCCATGAATTCACCAACCCCTCAGAACCCCATCCTCTGGGTTTTTAGGGAAGCTTCAGTACACAGGAATGATTGATGAAATCATTGGCTATCACTGATTGAACCCAAACTCAAACACCTCTTTCCTCCCTAGAGGTCAGGGGGTGGGGCTGAAAATTCCAACTCCTTTATGATGGTTGGTTCCCCTGGCAACCAGCCCTCCTCCTTAGGGGCTTCCCAAAAGTCACCCCCCACACACAAACTCAGGTAAGGTTAAAAGGGGCTTGCTGTGAATAACAAAAGACGCTCTTTTGCCTTTATTGCTCTTATCACTTAGGAAATTCTAATGGTTTTTAGGAGCTCCGTGCCAGAAGCCAGAAAAGGGAATAAAGACCAGATATGTATTTCTTACTAGAAATCATAATATCACAGGTCTTATGCCAAAGAGGTGCTCAATAAATTCTTAATGAAGGAAAAGGGAAAGGGGGAAAAAAAAGTATCATTATGGTAACTCACTAAAGCTATGATATTTAATATACCATAGGCCTTTAGTTTTGCTTGCTTTTCTAATTTTGGTAGCTATGCGTGGAATGCTAAACACTCATGGGAAGAGTGAAAATATTAACTTTTTAGAGAACATCTAACCAGACTCACCATATATTAAGAAATCTTACAGAATGAAAATAAACATCAGCTTCAAGGCAGAATAGAAAAGAGGGCCAACTAAGGAAAACAGCCTTGAACAAACAGACACCTGCCTATATGATCTACCTGATGCTCCTCACAGTTAACACTGCTACTGCCTTTCCCCCTCTTCGCTAGGTAAGATGTCCCAAAGAACTTAAACACTTTCTATAAAAAAAAAAAAAAAAGTCTTGATGTAGAAGCAGACTGACTTGCTGTTCCTCTATAAATTAGCAGAATGTACTGTCTTCTCAAGAATATCTGAGGAAACAAGTCGATCTAATCAGTAAGGGTATCATGTAGTAGTGGGAAAAACTGGAGGTGCTTATTTTCAAGTAATTTGAGGCCTTTCACCTTTTTTATTTTCCATTTACTTTCCAAATAGAGGCCCTAATACACCAAACATCTGGGTTCAAATCCTGACACTGCTCTTAGGATCTGTGTAACCTTGAATATGTACTTAATGTTTCTGAGCTTCAGTTTCCTCATGAGTAAAAAGAGAATACCACCCACTTTCCTCATGGGGTTACCAAAAGAAGTAATGTTATCCACTGTTCAGGTGCAAGGAAACCAGCTCAAAACAGGGATTCACCTTCAAGGCACAGAAGGACCTCACAGACTGGAAATCATGGCTCCTGTCTCCTACCCCCATTCTCCTCTCAGAGCTGTGTGGTTCTCTGGTGTTTCTCACAGTGAGTCTATTCTTTCTCTGCAAACCCCCTTCTCTGTTCATGGGTGTGCCTGGCACCTGGGCTGTAACAGTAGCCCCAAAAGGGGTGGTGCTCCCCAATGAGTGACTCATTCTCTGGGCTCCAACTCTAGTTTCTCTGGAGAAGGAAACTGGGCGGTTTCCTCAGATGCCCCATTCTCACCCCAGGAGAGAGGAGAGAGGAGAGAGGAGAGAGGCAAGGCCATTTCTACATGAGACTTTCCTGTCACCCCTCAGGATTTTTGGTCCCAGATCCACATGGTACATTGTTCAAAATGCCAACCAGGGCACCTGCTCCACGGTAAAGGTAGTTCCTTTTCACCTTACTTCACCTCCTCTCCCTACACCAACCAAAAATCACCCTAAACTCTAGGAACTCCAACCATTTTTCACATTGAGACCAATGAGTAAGGAAAGCAGATTACAGAAATCAATCCCAGATATTCTCTAAGTCTGAAGAAGATGCTAACAGAGAAATCACTGTGAATCCTGAATCTGATAGTACAACAAAGGTGTGACATCTTCAGATGCCATCTGCTTAGGAGATCTATCTCAAAAACAATCTCAAGCAGTTGACAGACACCCTTGGACCTCCATGTGTAAAGAAAGAAGGGTGAAAAAAACAGAAAAATTTACCTAAATGGTTTGTAAAATCAAGGCAGGGCCTCAGGAGCTGTGACCACAAACAAGTGGCAAGGTGAAAACAATTCACACTGCTGACTTCTAAAAGAATGAGTAGGTTCACAAAAGGACTACTCTTTGGTTATATTCACACACAAGTCAAAAGGCAGAGACAACGTTATGCAAAAACCTGTCCAGAAAGGCCTCTTTCTATGTGTAGCTAGCAAGACAGTACTAATTTCCAACCACGAGTTAACCAAAGAGGTAAAATCCAGATTCATCTGGTCAATTTTGACTAAAAGAATAGTTTGAAAAAGTATATTAATGCAAAGCTTGTTGCAAGCAACTTCATTCAGCTTGTCAACAAGAATTTCATTTGAACTTAAGTTTTGAAGAACTAGCTATACTTTGTATATAAAAGCATGCAAAAACATTACATATTTCCAAAGAGAAAAATGTATTTCGTGGTCTGGGAAGGTATTTTTCACAAGTCTGTGAGTCTTCTGAAATGATGGTTAAATTAAAAAATACTTAGAGAAGGCTTTCCAAAATCTTTTTTCATGTTTGGTCCTTTTAACTCTATCACAGATAAGCCAAAGAAAAGAAGAGAGACTTTTAGCAAGAAGAGGGATCACAGGGCCCCTGGGTGGCTCAGTCCGTTAAGCGTCCGACTCTTGATTTCAGCTCAGGTCATGACCTCAGGGTTGTGAGAAGGAGCCCCGCCTAAGTCTCCATGCTCAGCGGGGAGTCTGCTTTTCTCTCCTTCTGCCCCTACCCCCATGCTTGCTCTCTCTCTCCAAAATAAATAAATAAATCTTAAAAAAAAAAAGTGGGGGGAATAAGAGGGATCTCTAGTGTTTATGTACCCAGTTCATTTATTTTATGGATAATGAGATGAAAGATCAGAATGCTGAATGACGTGTCCCAGGTCATAGCCAAACTAGACTAGGAATTCAAATTTATTCAAATCAGGTATATCTTTTTCGTTCCTCCCACTTTACCGCGTAATTTCTCCATGCAGCTACCTAAATAATCAGTCAAGAGATAATCTAAGACTCTCTGAGCTGGAATTCTTCTAGTCCAGATGAAAAGGAAGCAGGAATCACAGATTTGGATCATTATCTCAGTAGATGATCTAATTCTGATTGGTTACCTTGAAGGAGGAGTGTCACAGTTACAGCTCTCTAAAACAAAGTTAACACTGTTAAATTTTCTAGAGATCCTCTCCAAAACTAGCCACATAACATTCTTGATCAGAATGCCTTGAATTCCCTTACATGAGAATGTATACTAATTTCTTCCCTTTCAGTCTTCTGCTGACCCGGAGAGGATAAGCAAACACTCCACAATGCCCATCAGGTGCCCAGTGAATGCAAGGGCTGTCAGGACACAGTCCTCTTCCAGACACTTGTCAGAGTGCCCAGTGACTCTCGTGCAGATCCCCTCCGGGTACAGAACATGCTACACTTACGAATCCCTTCCCCTCTTTGGGCCTAAGTTTCCTTACCCCTGGCACAAGTGACTGTCCTATACTTCATCTGATCCAAGGACTCTGGGTCCTGTCTTGAGTTTTCCTCCTTCGAAACAAGGCATGCTGTGACTTAATGACCTCTAATACAATCTTCTGGATTAAAATGTACAGATATGGGGGCACCTGGGTGGCTGAGTCAGTTAAGCATCAGACTCGTGATTTCATCTCATGTCATGATCTCAGCGTCATGAGATCGAGCTCCAGATTGGGGTCCATGCTTGACACAGAGTCGGCTTGAGATTCTCTGTCTCTGCCCCTCTCTCCCCCACTCTTACTCTTGCTCTTGCTCTTGAATAAATAAAATCTGTTAAAAAATGTACAGATATGAATGACTTATGCCCCTTGCCTTGAAGATTTGGGTTATCTCTGTTACGACACAGTAGAAATCCTGACATTTTAATTTTGTATGATCAATCTTGTACTGTTCTGTTACTTTTCCCATAAATTATGAGGCATATTTCCTAGCACAATATCAGTGTCCTCATCTAAGCTTTTTAAAAACATATCTATTAGAGTACTTGAATGCGCATCTGGAATCATTTTGTGAACTCAGTGCATTCGTGACAATTATCTATAGAACTTTTTTAAAAGTACAACATGGTAAAAAAGGCAAATGCTATTAAAGAATATATAGTAAAAAACCTGTCTCCCACTCCTGATCCCCAGGCTTTCAGAAACCCTTTCCAGAGCCACTACTGTTACTAGTTTCTCATGTATCCTGTGTGCAAGTATATACGGATGCACAGCCCCCATCCCTGATTTTTGTTTGTAATTTTATATAATGGGAGCGTATTATATGCTGCTGCTCCCCTCCCCCACTTTTTTTCCTTGCTTATACAATGTCCTGGAGATCACTCCATATTAGCAAAAATGTATCATCTTTTTGCTCTTCCTCTCTAAAATGACCTGGGTTCAAATTCCAGGTCTGGGGCCCAAGTCCCAGTCTCATCTTGTCACCTGCACATTTTGAGTTACAGCATCTTCTAAAAGAAATGAGTGCAATACTATCTGTAGGGTGCCTAGTAGAGTACCAGGCATGCAGTGATGCTGAATGATTGCTGCTCATGAACATTCCTCTCCCTGCGGAGCTCCTCAGGGAACGTGGCCTTTCATGGAAGATGATGTGAGACTGTAGAATCAGACCAACACAAATTCAAACCCTGCCCTCAAATTTCTTGTAAAAGGGTCATGGCATTTCTGAGGGAGACATGTATTCTTTTATTAGGCCAGTTCTCTACTAATGGATATTTAGGTAGTTTCCAATCTCTGTAATGACAAACACAACAATAGGCCCACTCATATTGTATAAGTAAAGTAGCTGATCTAATAACACACTGAGGTTGGGACTTAACTTGCAAGATCCCGGATCCAGAGTCCCAGCTTCTCTTTATTCCTCATTCAACAACTCTGCTTTCCTCTCTGAGCACTTTCCTCTTTGCCCTTTGTCATCAGTTTCCATTGTCCGCTTGACATGAAAAATGCACGTGGGTAGGCCTAGCAACTACTAATTACTTCAAATAGGAGAAACCACCTTTACACAGAAGATGAAATGATTATCTGAATTCTAAAACTATCATACAATCTTATCATTATTATGAATTCACTGTAAGGAATTTGTTCCCAATTCATGGCCATGGAATCACCCAATGGGGCTAGAGAGTGCCCAGCATGGGGTAGAGGATAAAAATCAGAGAAGAAAATTGGCTACTCTGAGAAGAAGGACCACCATTAGCAAGACAACCCCCAACTCCGGGCTACTAATACTGCCTGCCAGCACGGACATGGGTTGCACCTGGATTTATCGGAGGTAGCTCACTGGATCACCCTGCCCCAGTCTGACATCGGTTTCTACTCACATAGCTTGCCTTTCATCAGCTTTACAAAACCTTTCAAAATATATTTCTGACTGCCACAAGCCAAGTTGGGCTTCTGCTGACGTCACATCTCATACAATGTGCCAATCACAGGAAGTACTCATGAACGATTATTATTTTCTTGACATTACTATTTCTCAACAGCCCAGAGCTATATATGGCATCATCTGAAGCTGTACTTGACTATATCAAAGTATTTTCCTGTCTCTCCTGCTTTGGGCTGCACCCACTTCAGGTCACCAATGGATGCTGGTTAGCTCCCCACGTGTGAATCATTTGCTACAGGGTCTAGAGCTGTATGGCACCATCGTCCCCTGCTGTGGCCAACTGACCTACTAACAGAAAAGTGCTTGTGCTGGGAGTCATGCAGTGTTGAATCTGAGCTAGTGATGTTCACAGGGGATGCTGGAGAAGCCCACAGTGAACCCCAGGAGCAGGCGGAATCAGCCATTCACACCAGCTGTTAATCTGGGTTCCAAAGAGGCAGCCCTCCCACCACATCTGGACCTCAGAGGAGGTTCCACCTTAGCACACAAGAGACTTGCTTTAAAATGAAATTGTCACTATTCAAAATTCTGGACACTTAGCATAAATATCCAAATTGTATTCTTCCCTTAAAACACTGGAAGTTTTGGCAACACTGAGTCCACTCTCCTGCAGAGAAACAAGGGGCTTGGCTTGAGCAGCAGCTGTCTGCTTGCGGACCAGCACAAACCAACCTCACTCAGAAGTCATTTTTGTCAGCTCTGGGGGAACTGTGTTTGCAGTGTTTTCCACAGATGCTGAGTGGGAATGCCAGCATGTCAGTGGATCCTGCTTTTCAGTTGTTCGAAGACTACACTGCAACTATTTACTTCTCTGTTCATCACTGGGGTATGGTTAAGAACCTAAAATGCTGCCTCAATCATAGCATTGTTTATCCGTTGCAAATGGCTCCACCCCATACTTTTCTTACAG